CAGAGAAATAGAGGAATCTGAGAATATAAATAAGACCTTTTCAAGAGCCTTCCCACCTCCTAGGCCTACAAGGAAATTTCAAGGTGTGATTCTGGGTTTTCTTGGTTATGTGCTATCTTCATGCTGGTGTTCATTAAAATTGCAATTTTCATTAATTAATTCATAGCTTTGGGTTGTTTGGGGTGGGGGTGGCTGTCATGTGCAGGGCCTGCATCAATGCTACGAAAATTCAGCTACAAGGAGACAATGAAGGCAACAGATAACTTCAATACAATCATTGGACAGGGAGGATTTGGAACTGTATATAAAGCTGAATTTAGTGACGGGTTAGTGGCAGCAGTGAAGCGGATGAACAAGGTTTCAGAGCAGGGAGAACAGGAGTTCTGCAGAGAGATAGAATTACTCGCTAGACTGCACCACTGCCATCTTGTTGCTCTAAGAGGCTTTTGCATAAAAAAGAATGAGAGGTAGTTTACCACTACGTTCAAGTATTTTATGATTGGCCCCATCTTATCTTGCAAGCAAAACTAGGACTTGGTGAGTGTTTCCTTGTGGTCCATGTAAATGTTTGTATGCCATGGCTTAATGCAAGCAGTCTTGTGGTGTTCTTTGTAAGTGTTACTAAATGTTTTGTAATAATTAACGAGTAGGAAATTGAGGTCATTTCAATGTGATGTGTGTATGTGCTCAATGTGTGCCATGACATTACTTTTGCATGGGTTTAATATAATGAACACGAGGGCAGATTTGAACATTCACAAACTCTGCGTAAACTTTTTCTAATCATCTGGTTTTGTGTGAGATTATGATTTCTCTAACTGCAAAATCAAATACTCTTTGGTTGTTCGGCAGGTTCCTCGTGTATGAGCATATGGCAAATGGAAGCCTAAAGGATCATCTTCATTGTACGTCTCTTCATTTTCATTATACTATTTCTAGTCCATTTGATGTGGTGCTTACTCTTTCTTTCTAGTTTGTGTTCCATTGGAAATAAATTTTTGTGGTGCTGTTCACAAGAGAAAATATCTCTTTGGTGTGTGCACATGCACTTGCAATCCATGCCTTCATTTAACAAAGAAAATTTTTTCTCCAGAAGATTCATGGATTCAAATTCTATTGGTTATAGAAATTAGTGGTTTCTTATATTGGGGGAACTCATTTGGCGGCCTTGTATTCTGAATTGATTTAACATCCTGTTTGCAGCCCCTGGAAGTCCTCTGAGTTGGCATATCAGAATCCAGATTGCAATTGACGTGGCTAATGCTCTGGTAATGAACAGAAACAGTGGCTTACCAGTGGTTTGGTTTCAGACCTTTGGCTCATTTACATGAATTATTTTCCCCTCCTCATTTCTTATTCTTACTTGCAGGAGTACCTCCACTTTTATTGCGATCCACCTCTGTGCCACAGGGACATAAAATCAAGCAACATTTTATTGGATGAAAATTTTGTTGCTAAGGTAGTGTATTGATTTACTGCCTTGTTGCTCTTGTGAGTTTATTTCTTTCATGGCCCATAGTGTATTTCTCAATTATACACTCAGAATGATAGTACTTCTATTTCAAAAAAATTTCGGACTACGAAAAATTAAAAAAATTGAAGGACTGGGTTTTTCTTGCAAGAGTGTGTCCTGCAAAATCATACCTATCAGCGGTTTATCTTTTACAGTGTCTCCTTCACACCATTTTATTTTCCAGGTTGCAGATTTTGGCCTTGCCCATGCTTCAAAAGATGGTTCTATATTCTTTGAACCAGTAGATACCGATATCCGTGGAACTCCAGGTCCAGGAAAACAATATTTGTGTTCTACTGTAAATATTTGCTAGTTCACTGTACTAAGAGGCCTGAGTACACAATGATTTTCAGGTTACATGGATCCTGAGTATGTGGTCACCCAAGAGCTCACCGAGAAAAGTGATATATATAGCTATGGTGTGGTACTGTTGGAGATAGTGACTGCAAGACGAGCAATACAGGAGAGCAAGAATTTGGTGGAGTGGTCTCAAATATTCATGGCATCAGATTCAAGGCTACCGGAGTTAGTGGATCCACGCATCAGGGATTCCTTTGACTTGGACCAGCTACAAGCTATTGTGACTATTGTGAGATGGTGCACACAGAAGGAAGGCCGGGCAAGGCCTTCAATCAAGCAAGTCCTTAGGCTTTTGTATGAGAGTTCAGACCCAATGCATAGTGAATTTGTGCGAGCTGTGGAAGATGAAGAGTGTGAAGGAAGTGAAGGAGGAGGAAGAATAAGTAAGGAAAAATCAAACAAGAGTGATGCTATTTTTCAGAGTGGGGATGGAAGATATCTGGCTTCCTCTTCAAGCACATCGAGGTCGTATTGTAGTAGAAGCTTTTTACTTGAAACTGGCTCTCCACAATCTCCCTCCAGTATGCTCTCTGTTTGAGGCGATCATTGTTTGCCTCGATCAACAATCATGGTTTGCAAGAAAGCTGTAGCACTACTCTTACAGACTTGGCAGCAGGTCAAGTCAATGTCTTCTGAGAACACATATCACCAGTTAGATAGAAAAGGCAATTGTAAAACTATTCATTGTTTTTTTAAGCATGAAAAAGTACTCATTATACATCCATTTCTTTATTTCATGTTTTAGGATTTCTGGACAACTAAAGCTGGGAAATATAAACATTTTATATTTCATCATTGGTATGTAAGATGGGCTGCTTTGCTTCAAGCATTTCTTTTCTGTTTTCACTTTGAAAAGTAAAATTGATCTAGCAGCTCACGAAAGTTTTACTCCTTACACTCATTCTAATCTTATGTCATTGTACTCTCATACAATTGCAAAGCTCTCTTTTTCCATCATTACATCTCATGATCCACTGAGAAATTGAAGAAATCATGGGAAGAAAATTTATTTACACCTGAACTTTTGCAAATAAAAATACCTGTGCAGGTCCCCAAGGTAACCATCATTGTTGGTGGAAGTTTTGGTGCTGGAAATTATGCAATGTGTGGTCGTGCATGCAGTCCCAGTTTCTTGTTCCTTTGGCCAAATGCCAAAATATCTGTGATGGGTTGTCCTCAGGCGGCCTCTTCACTCCTCGGATATGATCAAGATGTCAATAAAATCTTGTGCCATCACTTTGATTTGAGCAATTAGATATATAAAAAATACCATATCGACATTAATATTGACCGTATCTCCATCCATCCTGTGCAAAAATTACATTTGTTCTGGCAAGGCCCTTTTCATATTTTATAGAATTGGTGCATTTTGGGGCAAACGCTTAGTTCAGATGCTCTGAATGCCATATTCACTTCTTTGTTTTCAGGCTGTTAGTGTGCTGTCTCAAATCGAAATGCAAACAAGAAAAAGCAAGGAATTCATGTGACCTCTCCTTTATTATAAATACTATTGAGGCCTTTACCAACTTATGGCATGCTTATCTGCATTTGGATATGGTTGCATGGATTACAGTGGACTGAGGAGGAAATAGAAAAATTAAAGGCAAAGATCATGGAAGCATACGAGCGAGAAGGAAATTGTTTTTACTGTATAATTCGGACAGGGAAATCGAGGCAAAGAAGTTTGTGCTTGGAACTTCTTAGACCCCAAAGATGTTGCAGGAAAGTTCCTCTTCTGTGACTACGATGATGAGTCATCACAGTCTCTCCGATATGAGCCAGACATTGCTGGAGCTAATGGGGCCATCTTCAGGGAAGACGATGCAGAATTTCTCCAACAAGACTACGTCTACATGCCGATTGTGATAGTGAGCACAAAAGATGGAGAGTTGCTGAAGAACTATATCATAGATGCCACGAACACAACAGTTAAGAGTGAAGTTTGGGTTAACGTTATTAGGTACTAAGCCAGCTCGATAGTGGCATATTTTTCCTCTTGAGGACCTGATCGAAGATCCCCATGGACTCTTGAAACCTGATAAACTATATCCTGGATACCATATTCTGGCTGCTTGGGTTCCTAATAAAGGATTTGCACCAATGCGTGAAGATGATTATTTGCTTACAGATTATGCTCTCGTTTCCGGCACATCGATGTCATGTCCCCATGTAGCTGGGATAGCTGCATTGCTTAAAGCCTCTCACCACGCTTGGAGTTCTGCTTCCATCCGATCAGCACTGATGACAACTACTGATGTTACAGGCAACGCAGTTCGTAGAATCATCGATATGACCACTGAAGTTGCGAGGACACCCCTTGATTTTGGAGCAGGGGATGTAAATCCCAACAAAGCCATGGACCTTGATCTAGTGTATGATATAGAGGCGGAGGATTGCGTTAACTACCTGTGTGCGATGAGCTGTACAAGCCAACTGATCCATATCATCACAGGGTCTTCAAATTTTACTTGTCAATATGCTAGGCTTGATCTTAATTATCCTTCGTTCCTTGTTCTCTTGAACATGACGAGTACTGCCACCACTACATTCAAGAAGGTGCTGACAAATACAGCAGATAATAGCTCCGTCTATCATGCGGTGATCTCAGCTCCTCAGGGTATGAAGCTCTAGCCCAACCAACAACACTTGCATTTTCAGGAAACGACAGCAAGTCTTAGGGGATGCAATTGCAGAGACCATGGGACTCCTAATCACGTCTTCCATTAACTTCACACCAGCTCAGAAACCCGGAATTCCCAAAATAATCGCTTAAAGGACACTTCACACATTTTGTTGAGCTGCTGCTTCTTTATGTTTTTCATAGTAAACAGAACGTCTCATATTATTCAAGGACCAGAGTAAAGAAATGGTTGTGGTTTGAGAAAGCTTCTATACAAACAAAAAGCTTCCAACTTTTGAATCACTGTAAAATACAAGGGGCACTGTTTTGTATCGCTGTTAAAAGTTTGAGGCCACAGGGATCTAGGTTCGGAGTCTTGACAGCAGCCAACCATTCAAAAATGCTTCAAGTAGAAGTATCATCAAATACAACTCATGTAGCCAACATGTAAGGAAAGAGCAAGTAAAGCTTCTACTTTCCAGGTGAGAATGTTGAAAGAAGTGTTCGGGCACTAAACTGGTGAATTTATATTACAGATCTCACATTAGTAGTTTTATCAGTAACAACGATGAGGCACAAGGCATACATGGAGATACTCAAATCCATGCAGGACACATAATGATAAAAGAATAAATGTGATCCAGCCTTCTCCGTCATCTTTATGAAAAATAGGGGGAAAAAACTATGAGAAAGCATGCAATTATAAGGCATGCCTCAACTATCTAATCTATGTAAGTGAACACGTTACAAGACAAGCTACTCTCATTTCTCCTAGCCACCAATTGCAGCCAGGAACTTCTTCTTGCTCACTGGTTCTTCATGCAAGACCACAACGTCTCTCACCTTGTCAAAAAGCTGCTCCAGCTCATCCACACCAAATCTTTGATAGTCCAGTGGTTTTTTGTATCTTTGATGGTATATTGACTCAAAACAATCCAAGAAAATCTGACAAGAATAGCTCACTAGAATCTCCTGCAACTCAAACTTGAACAGCTCAAGATTTGGGTCATCAACTTCATATCGAGCTGCTGTTCCCAAATTAGCCTTCCCTTGATTCCTCCTCACCTCATGTTCCTCAACCATCACTCTTTCTTCATCTGAGACCTCATCTGAGGAGCCACCACCTGTCGCAGCATCCAAGCTCTCCTCCTGAAGCCCCTTTCCTGTCTTATCTCTCCTTGCTAGAAGTATAGGAGGTGCACTTGGACCTGCTTTCCAGTTTTTAAGATAGACGAACTTCTTTTGACCCTTGCCATCTATTGCCATTGCATCGCCCATTTTCTTGAAAAGACTAACAAGCTTCAATGCCCCATATTCTGAAACATAAAGAGGCCGACCATACATCTTCTGATACTCAGGAGGAACTCGGGTAAGAGGCAAACATCCTCCTGAAAGTTCAAGTAACTTCACCAGCTGAGCTTTCAGACCATTTATGTCCCCAGGCTGTACCCACATAGTAGAATAATACTCATCATAAGATGCGGGACATGCTGAAACTTCATTCAGGCCAGATGGGACACTCTGTGACCTCGAACTAGTGGGGTGGCAAGGCACAGTCATCAAAGAACTGCTGTTGTATTCAGATAAAGATTGTGACATTATAGAGAGATCTCTGGAGTTGTAATAGCTCTGCGAGAGCCCCCAGTAAACAATTGTCTCTTCTTCATTCTGGCCATCGTGGTTGTCATTTATACGGCATCCACTTAAATACCCAGCAATATCAGGTGGTCCTGCATGGGAAGGCAATAATGTCTTTGAGGGGGGTATAAAACCTTCCCCACGAGCCACACTAGGCCAGTCCCAAACAAACTTGCCAGCATTGCATAGGGCAGACGAGACGCCAACCCCAGAAGGGATAACAAGAATCACAGTATATCCACGCTGACCAAGTATGTGAAGAGCAGGAGAAAAATCCACATCTCCAGAGATAAGCATGATGGAAGAAGGTGGGGGGTTGTCAAGTGCAAAGAGAAACATGTCGACCAAAATAGCCTTGTCAGCAGCATCCTTTCTACCGTTTGGAACATCAACTAGTTTAACACCAGTTCTCTGGCAGCCTTCTCTCAGTCGTCTGGAGAAGGAGTTAAAATCTCCATATGCAGAAAACATCATGACAGCTCCTTTAATAACAGGGTGCACTCGCAAAGCCATTCTGATATTCCCAGCCACATCTTCAGGGCGGACATCACTAGGGACACGGCAGTTCTCAATGTCCCAAAGGATAGCTACAGGACCATCCAAAGAGGGTCGAATTTGATGGCTAACAGAAGGTTGAATAGCTTGCATGATTGAATCTGCCATATGGATTCCCCTCTGCTCAGAAGAATTAGAGGGGAGCGTTGATGCCGATGGATTTGAACTTGACATCGCTCTTTTTTTAATGCTATTGTTAATTCTTTTATGCTATCAAAAAGTTAAAGACCCCTGTTGATTACCAGAGGAAGAGAATGAGAGTCATCAAACAATATAGAATTATTCTAAGAATAACTATAGAAAAACATCAAAGCAAAAATGAGTATACCAAACTATTCAAAGAAGCACTGCCACCAAACAAGCTAACATTAAGAAACATTAAGCCAATTGATTAGCCAAACCTAAAAATAGATGTATTTAATTACTTCACCAAAGAGCTGATCAAGACTACATATTTAGCAGCTAAGCTCAAGAAGTATTTTATTTGAAGATTAAGATCTTAGTTTAATGTCTGTCCCTCTTAAGACCAGAGAGCACAACAGAACCCAAGAGTTTAAATCCATCCCCACTGCCCAAATAATGAAATTTACAATTTGAAGATGAAGCTCAATTGATCAAAGAAAGGAAAAGAAAAGGGTACCTTTGAATTGAGGTCATAGAGCAACTCTTTAAAATAAAATTAAGCTGTTATCACCAGGACCAAGGAATTGAGATCTTGTTGAAGAACAAAACAGAAGGGTAAAGATCCAATAAATTATCATCCAACAAAGATCAAAGAAGATGGCGATCACTCTTTATATGGATTATTCTGCCACAAGGAGAGGTGAAGAAGATTTTGGCTTCTTTTTCCTTATTTGTTCACTACCATGCTTGCTATTTTCGAAGAGACGACGGGTTTTTGCTTCTCTGGGTTTTTTTTTTTTTTCCTAGGATTTTGAAGCCGGAAGAAGTGATATATTAATTAATTTTTCTAGGTTGGAGGGCTGTCAGAGAAAGAGGTCTTGGGCTTTTAGGGTAAATAATGCTTGAGCCCAAGAACAAAGGAACAACCAGCCTGTCCCTTGTTTCATTCCAAGCTGATTAACCGACAGACACGATCAAAGGTCGGAATGTTGATTTTCATTCTGCCCCGACAAAAGGTCGCATCCAATTCCAACCCACATTAACGTTGAAACAAAACCAGAACCTTGCAATGTCAACACGAGGTCAGAGGTAGATTAATAAGTAAGGTTTTAAATTTATTATTTAGAGGTTAATAATTTAAGCTATTATTAACTTTAAAATCTGTAAAATTAGTTGGAAATTAGTTGACTGATTATCTATATTAATAATAATAAAAAATACAAGTTGGAGGGATGTCACTTCTCAAAATCGACATCTCCCAATAGTCCCGAGTAACAGCTGTTGCTGACAAACCCAAAAGATGTGGTTAACAAGAACATACTGTGGGTGTCTTAATAATAGCTTAGCATAAAAAGCTCAATATGGAAACCATAAAGCAAGCAGATATAAGAGCAGCGCTGAAGATATGGAGCCAAAACTTATAAGATCCCTGAAGAAAGTCATGAGAAACTCTGTTCTCTGGAAGATTGACAAGCCACTACAAAGGGAAAAAAAAGGCTTTTCTAAAGATTACAACCCACGTACACTATTCTTAAAGAACGAGTCTGGTTGACACTGCATGTCCTATCGCCAGATTTCAACGTTCCATATTAGATGTAACCATTTTGTAAAGCAAAGCACAGCATGAATATGCATCGCATCCCGTATAAAAGACAATGAATTTGTCCTGTCTTTCACCATAGACCACCTAACTAGCAGAGGTAATTAACAACGTACTTCTTTATAATGCCATCCTCAATTAAAACCTCCTTGGCTACATTGAGAATACTAGCAGCAAAAGGACCTGATATGAGACTAATAGTACAAAATAGGATAACAAATGCAGAACATCCGATCGCAATTAAAATTCAAGCCCAAAGAGAACGCAAGTTTCCGAATTGATGTTGGGACAGAACATGAGAGATTAACAACATGACACAAATGGAATACAAAACAAATATGTTTCACAGAAATAGATTACAAAAGCAATATATTTCATCTTGAACTTCTATCCATTCATTTCAAGAAGTACATAGGTCAAATATAAGTCTTTCCTCCGCTTATCCTTTCCAATAGTCCGCTTGTCTACATTAAATCCTGTTCATGGATCAACGAAAATGCACAAAAGCTCTATTAGCCTCTGCCATCTTATGAGTGGTTTCCCTCTTTTTTATGGCTTCACCGGTCCCTTTGGCAGCATCCATAACTTCAGAACTCAACTTGAGAACCATACTTCGTCCTTGACGTTTTCGGGATGCCTCCAACAACCAACGGATAGCAAGTGCTTTTCCTTGGAATGTTCCTACTTCAATAGGAACTTGTTGGGTAGATCCACCAACACGTCTTGCTTTTACCGCTACATCAGGAGTTACTCCATTCACTGCCTCACGTAAAACAGCTAATGGATTTGATTGTGTCTTTTGCTGAATATTTTTCAATGCTTGATAGATGATATGATAAGCCAGTGACTTTTTCCCCTTTTTCAAGATTCGGTTGACAAACATGTTAACTAATCGGTTACGATAAACTGGATCAGAAGTGGCAGGTTTTTTTGCCGTTGTACCTTGACATGAGATGAAGATGAAAGGGAATCAGTCTCCCTTCATAGAGTTAATGAATAAATTCACTCTCAACATGCATGATAAATAATAACAATAAATACTTTCACCCTCTAATCAATATTCCAAAATTTGATGGCCCAGTTGATAAGCAAAACAAAACGATAATTTCACAGCCACAGGAAAGTAATTTGGGAACCCAAAAAAGCAACATTCTTTGCATACATCACAAGTTTGCTCTATGTTGAGTCTCTTACCCAAAAAAAGAACTTACTAAACCATTCCCCAGTTCAGTCCAGCTTGGGAGTTGTGACAAGAAGACGACTATGCTAATTCTGAAAATGGGACTGGCACTTGAAATAACATGTTCTGATTCGCTCCCGCACTTCCATAGGAACCTCAGTCTCCAACTCTTTCTCTCTCTCTAACTTTCTTCCACATTTCTCCTACCTTGTTTCTTTATTTGGCCCCCTTCTTTTTTTTTTTTTTTTCTGTTTTCAATTTCTTCCAGGGATTTCATTCATTTACACTGCGCCTCCAACCCGAAAACAAAATCTCGGCTTCTTTTCTGATTGAACCTATAGTTGCTATCAAGAGCAACCTTCTACTATCTGATATATCGGTTGCATTGAGTAGATGAGCTAATCTTTGATTTTTTTTAGCGCACAGCAAATCCTAATTTTTTATTATTCATTAAAAGAAAAAAAAAAGATGGATTATCTCTTCTCCTAAACTCCAATCAAGTCACCGTTAAAATAATCAGCAAAAGAAACTCAGTATTAACAAAAATAATAAAGATGAAACAACTCAAACAAGAATCAAAATTAAATTAAAAGAGTACAGAGTTTAAGGGAGTTATTTATTAATTTTGTTTTACCTCGTTTTCCGCGAGCGCAGAGAACCTTGAGAGGGAGAGGCGCATGTTGAACAGTGAGATTCGGTGCTCTTTTTGCGGTGTTCAAGTTAATTGGAAATGAGAGTCTATTAGGGTTCAGCTGCTGGCATGGGCGAAGAACGGAAGCGCGAGAGCTCGTGAGCGGTGGAGAGCAGAATGAAGTAGCAGTTGAAGCCATTTCAAGGAAAGAAAGAAACGGCGAATACTAAAAATTAGTCTCGCAGAGAGAGACCAGAGAGATGGCGGTGGTTCTTGCTGCAATGGCTGTCTATCGTGTGGGTCTGAGAGCATGAGGATAGGGTGATGATATATCCGAGTGAATATTATGATTAATTTCATTTAAATATAGAAACATTAATGTTATTAATTTAATGAGAAATTGAAAAATGCATCTCATTTTTAATTTTTTTATATTTCAAATCAAAATAAAAGCTGTAATATTTCAAAACAAACCCAAGTATTGTTATTAATATAAAAATTATTGTTGGTATTCAATTTAAATAGAGGAAAATCGAGGTGACATGGCATTTTAGATTAATGAAAAACTAAAATCTGTCAAAAAGCTCACGCCCGGTGGGACTCGAACCCACAGTCGCCTGATTAGAAGTCAGACGCCTTATCCATTAGGCCACGGGCGCTTCTTGCTATTTTTCGTCTTATTATATATATTTAATCATTATAGAAATATTTTCCTTGCTGTCTGACTAACGAGAAAATAAATCCTGACTCATTATGGTGCCTAGGTGCACCAATATTTTAAGAAATGGTGTGCAGAGGTGATTGCGGTTGTTAAAATGATGTATTTTATTTTTAAAACATTATTTTTAAAATTAGTGTATAAAAATAATTAAAAATATTAAAAAAATTAATTTTTAACAAAAAGCACATCATTTCAACAACTATAATCAAGTTGAATGGTGATTTCTTTTATCAAGTTAAAAACAAAAATTGCAGTAAATTATATTTTCTAGTCCCAGTGAATCTCAGTAAATTTAAGTTTTAAAAATAATTATAAATTGTTTTTGATATTTTCATGTCAAAAATGATTTTTTTAAAATATATATTATTTTAATATATTTTCAAATAAAAATCACTTTAAAAAATAATTATTATCATATAATTTTAACTATCATTTAAATACACAGGGGGACGGTTCAAGGAAGCAGAGATGCAAAAGCCTATGATTTTTCTTTTGTCATCTGGATCGATGATTCCTTCTCGCTGGTATGCTTCCATGATCTTTGCCTTGAATTTTTCTATTTACTCCTCAGTCCACTGTAATCCATGCAGATAAGCATGCCATAAGTTGGTAAAGGCCTCAGTAATATTTATAAGAAAGGTGAGGTCACATGAATTCCTTGCTCTTTCTTGTTTGCATTTCGATTTGAGACAGCACACACTAACAGCCTGAAAACAAAAGAAGTGAATATGGCATCCAGAGCATCTGAACTATGCGTTTGCCCCCAAAATGCACCAATTCTGTAAATATATGAAAAGGGCCTTGCCAGAACAAATGTAATTTGTCCACAGGATTGATGTAGATACGGTCAATATTAATGTAGATATGGTGTTTTTTCTATATCTAAGGAGTGAAGAAGCCACCTGAGGACAACCCATCACAGATATCTTGGCATTTGGCCGAAGGAACAAGAAACTGGGACTGCACATTACATAATTTCCGGCACCAAAACTTACACCAACCATGATGGTTACCTTGGGACCTGTGCAAGTATTTTTATTAACGAGAAAAATAATATAAATTATATTTTGATATTTTATTTAATCATTTAAATTATTAGAATGAAATGATTCTTTAATATGATATCAGAATTTAAGCTATTGGGTTAAAATGATTTTTTGACATAATATCGAAGTCTTGGTAACCAAGCGGTTATAAATTCTAATTTCATTATTCTTATTTATTTGATAAAAATTAAATACAAAGCAATATGGACTTGTACAAGTTTCAAACTCAAAGGATTTTCATTTAAAAAAGTATGTTAGAAAATAATATTAATCATATTTTAGAACGTTATCTAATAGCTTAAACTATTGAGTTGAGATAGTTCTTTTACATGGAATCAGTGCCTTGATGATCAAGTGGATGCGAGTTCGAATTTCAACATCTTTATTTATTTGATAAAAATAAAGCATAATATAGTTTAGGTTTGTGCAAATTTCAAGTCTAAATAACTTTTACTTAAGAGGGTGTGTTAGAGAATAATATAAATCATATCTTGGGACTTTATCTAACAGCTTAGGCTATTGGGTTGAGATAATTCTTTGATATAAAATCAGTGTTTTAATAACTAAGTGATTACGAGTTCGAATCTCATCATCTATATTTATTTGATAAAAATTAAATATAAAATAGTATGAATCTGTGCAAGTTTTAAAAGACCTTACCTAACAGTTTAAATTATCAAATTGAAATAGTTTTTTAATACGATATTAAAATTAAAATTATTAAGTTAAGATAGTTGTTTAAAAAAATTCACGTGTAAATAAATTTTCTTCCCATGATTTCTTCAATTTCTCAATGGATCATGAGATGTAATGATGGTAAAAGAGAACTTTGCAGTTTTACGAGAGTAGAATGAAATACGATTAG